ACGTAAATTATATTATCTATGATTTTTAAAAATTGAGAGGCTAGTCTTTTTCAGGATTAAATATTTCGTCTTTATAATATTATTACAGATAAACAGAGGTCCTTCTATCGGTTTCTTAACTGTCAAAATATTTGATTTTGTTTTTTATAATTATAGTTTAGAGCTAAAAGGATATAGATGAACAATATAAACTTACATACCATTTATACATTATTATAATAGTATGCTTTCTAAACTTGTTACTACGTCCAAAAGAATATGTTAGTCACTTTCTCTGTGTACTGTCTAGGAATTTCGCGGTCTTCCACTTGACATAAAATCCTTTGAAAAATAGTCGCACGACAACGATACGATTTTATCTTATTACGATGAACATAATCTGGCGATGTTCAGTAAAAGTCCATATGAATTATGTAATGCACATTGCGTTTTGCTTCAGTGTCGCATTTCATTCGGCGCCATTTTAACAATCTATAAATTTAAAACTAGCCTAAAAATACTTAGATGACATAGATCCTGAAATTTTAATTTTAACGCTTGTAGCCCCTCTGGTGTTGCAGGTGTCCATGGGCGACGGTAATCACTTACCATCAGGTGATCCGTCTGCTCGTCTGCACCCTATCCAATAAAAAAAAAAATACTTCAGCTTTGAATGTTTGATATTGACGTACCAGGAAACCACTTCTTTTTCTCGTAAAATCATAGACAATTATGCCTGCGTATAATCGCTTAAAGCTGGCGCATTGCCAAGTTCCTTGACTGTACATTATAATGTGTGACCCATAAAATAACGCTTTATCTGTCGCACGTGCATCTTGCAATTAAACGTTCCATAAGGTAGCATCCGATGCCAATTATTATGCATCGCGTGAATACGTCACGTTTAATAAAGCCGGACGTATTATAAATGAGGACTCATATACAGTATGAACCTATTTCAAGTTTTCGAGAAAAATGAAAGCACTCTCAATTGTTTTATTTAAGAAGACACTGAAAAAGTGCCCTGTGGCCAACATTCTGGTTCACACACCTCATCACCAACCAAGCAACGTTAATTTCATATCCCGCCTTATAATCACGATACCTGACAATTGCGGGTTGGTGGGTGCAAACAATTGCTTGTTCAGCCAGCGCCAACGGCTTAATTTGCCTTCTGAAGCAGCTTACATGTATTCGCTGTAATCACTGTACTTCCCCTCAAGTCGTTTTCTTCATTCCTGGCGGTTGTGATCTCCTCGGTGGGAAGACAGATTTTATGACATCTCATCTCTCCATCTGCTCCTATTCTTGGCAATAGGGAGAGTGTCATGGAGTTTTATGCCGAGTGTTGCGCGAAGCTGGTCATTATAATTGCTTCACCATTAATATATAAATTAAATGTAACATAGAAAATGTTGCAGTAGATATCATAAATCTACACAACGAACTATGTATCAGTTCTTTGTTTATTGAGTAAATATCCGCTGAGTTTTCGCCCATTTGCATCGCTACGGCACGCATACTGTTAAGTCGTGTTTTTCCTGCTTGGCTATTTTTATTATTCTTTATCTTTTTTATATTGTATTGAAATTTGTTATATAAATGTGCATATTTCGATATGATGATGCAAATGAAGGATTTATCTATCATGTAATTTATCAATCTAAATCGTGTTTGCCCTTTGAAATATACACTGAGATTGATAGACGTTATAAGAGAGGAACGTGACAATACCGATGTGGATACAACGTCCTCAATTTGACGTGTCGTTTGATATAATTGAGCTTGTTACAAAATTCAGAAAGTGGGCCAAGCGCAAGCGAAACGTCGAATAAGTATTATTGCTATCATCAATCAACACATTGCTTACTGTTTTTGTATTCCTTAGTCTAAGAGCATGAACAAAATGGTTGGTTTATACAGTGACGTCAACAAATTGTGTTTTTTTGTAATGGTAACACAGACTTATGTACTGCAAATGGGCACGATTTCTTTTTAAAGACCGGCACACCCTTTTTTAACGTCGAGGAAATGATTTTGGCTCTGTTCTTGTCAATTTTCAATAATAGGGGGTGTGTGGGACTATTCTCCGTGAAACCACCCAGCAGTGCCAAGTGGGTCCCATAAGGCTGATCCACTAAAATCCTCTTTTTCCTTCTCTCGTGGGAGATAAGATCTAGGAAGCTGTGGCCGAGTTATCAGGACTGTCAGCACATACCTAACTGTAGATTTTAGAGAGTTAGAAGTATGGATTACTATGCTACGGATCATCTGTCAATTGTGTAAGATTGAATGTCAAACCATATATTTTTCTGTTCTGACGTTCTGCGACCACGATTCGTGATGTATCTTTCTTCAGTTTTAAATCGGAGAGAGACAGAGAAAAGAGATTTGATTCGGCGGTGGTTAGAGTGGTGCTACGATGTTCAAAATATATCTACATGAAGAAATTTAGTACACACATTTTAGGTACGTGAGCGTGCTGGAGCGTCCATATAGGCAAATTAAACAATTGCCTAGCATAGGATAGGATTGCCTAGGGCGCTCGTCTTTGGGGGGCGGCATGGAATAGAAAACAGATTGTTTTCTCTGATTAACCTTAAAATGCAGTACCCGAAAAAAATACTTTTTTTTTATTGAACCAGTCCATGCTCGCGGTATTCAATAGTGCAAATTTTTCTTAAATATCACTCCTTGATCGGTACTACTTTAGTCATTTATTTTGTTGTCATTTTTTATGACTGTCATTTTGACTGTGTTTTGCCTAGGGCGCCAAATTTCATTGAGCCGGCGCTGCATAAATGACTTATCAAAGAAGCTTAGATATAGAGTCTGTATTAAATATAGAGACAGGTAGCAGAGTACTGATATATTCTTATAATTACCTACGTCCAAAAGTTGACAAACTTGTTAACTAATGTGGGAACATAGCGCAGGCGGTACAATAATCAAGATATGTATATTATAAACATCATAATGAGTTCACAGATGTTTTCGTGATTGTATATCACAGTCCTCATTAGTAATGAACTGTTGTTAGTTGAACTACACGTACGGTTATTCATATAGGTATATAAACATTTCAGTTGTCATTGTATAGTCATACAGGCAATCTAATCACGTCTTTATTCCATATTTTGATTGATCAAAACTTTTTGTATCAAAAAGTTCCACTGAAAGTTCTGTTTGGTAAATATATAGGTAAGATTTATAAGTATAGTCGACCAAAAATATGGCCTAACACCTTACGGTTGAGGTTCATTTGAACATCATGAAATAACAAGATATCCCCTTATAATAATATTACTTCAATCAAACGTCGAACATCTCAAGTAACAGACATAAAAATTCAACAATAGCGATAATTAAATCTCACAGGAACTTTTGCCAAACCACTTTCTTTGTTGATCATGCATAAACTGGGTACTTCAAGTCACTCATTGCAGCAAATGTTGGCGGGTTGATGTGTCTTTCTTTCATAAAAACCTTTTTTTCTCGGTCAATTAGAAAACCATTTCCGAAACGTTACGCTACATAATATGTGCCTTTTCAAGTATGTGTGTTGATGTTTTCAGATATACACCTAATGCTAATGTTACACAGTAAATAATGAGTACTTTAACTCTTCACGTTGATATATACTACTCGTACGAATTAACATAACACCTGAAGCCGTACTCTATATCTCCCAAAAAGTTATTTTGTTTATTATCGAAATGCTAATACAACTCTAAAGAAACGTATTTTTCGATAATTTATTATGAAAAGGAGGTAGGGCCTGACACCGCCTCAAATGCACTAATAATCTTCACGAATGAAACTCTAAATAGGTATATAATTTCGAGATTTCACATTTTGTTGTTCAAACATTTACAATTAATGCTCAAATTCTTACAATACTAATATAAGAGGAAATATTTGTTTTTTTTTGTTGTCTTGTTAGCAGCGTTCCCATACTACTTGACCGGTTTAAAAAATTCTTTCCCCTATATAATCAGCCGCCCAATTAGGCGGCTAGCCCTTTAATGGAATTAAATGGCGCAATTCAATTAAAAGGCTAGTTGGTCGGCTAGTGGTACCAATTGGTCAGCTGATTATACCACTTGGCTGCGACATAGACATCATACGCAGGTGTCATAGCGGTAATGTAGCATGAAAACAGTTTCCATGTAAAGTTGATTCGAAATTAAGCTTCCATCAAATTAAGCACCATCTTCTTGTATAATTAAACGTGTCAAACGGTCAGTGTTGTGTAATCTATAGAGTATGTTTGAAGATTGTTGAATAAACTTTGGACGTGTTTGTTCAAAATGACGAAACAAAACAAGAGCAACCTGTTGTGTTGGTAAGTGCCTGGGGTTTAGACGGTGACGCTTTCTACATTTTAAACAAATACTCTTTTAGATTTCCAATAAGTAAACACTATTGTTAACAGGTTTTAATGGTCACAGATTAACCTTAACATTATAGTGAACTAACAAAAGATGGCGCTTATTATTTTTTATCGATGAAAATGCTTATATCAGTTTTTATTACCATATTTACGTAACGTTGCCCAAGGTAATATATTGAACAATGGAATAAATCTATTTTAGTTCTGAAAATGCCTTTATTCTTTTAAATTAAAAATGGTTTGACTATTTGAACCATTTTTTATTAAGACAGGTATTCGGAAAAATTAAATACGCCTTATCTGTACAGTAATCATCATCACCGGCACATTATTGTTTCCACTGCTGGAGCTCAGCTCTTCCCTATAGATGAAATTGAATAGGGGTAATGGACCATAACCCATTACGCGGGTCCAGTGCGGATTGGTGGGTAATAATGACTGCAGATGCTTGGACCAACGGTTTAACGGCCCTTGCGAAAAATGCTTAACAAGATGCGCAGACCGAGCTCTGTAAAGTAATATATTAATAATATTAGGTTATGAGTGAAAAATGATCTAAAAAAATTTGACGTCCCTTGATCACCCGTTATTGTATCACAATTTTTAAATTAACTTAATATTGTTACAGTACGGGGCTCATGTCATCGTCGATCGAAGAGGTAAGTCGATTTATTTCCCTTTTTATTAACTTGCTTATTATCTTATAAAAAACCAAGTGCGTTTCGGACTCGCGCACAAATTAATATCACGTTGGATATATGGAAGTACCCTTAAATATTTATTTTCAGCAGAAAAAACAGTATTCGTTGTTATAGCGGGAATAGAAATATATCATCTGTCAAATTTCAACTGTCTATCACCATTCATGAGATACTTAGTGATGAGCGGACAGCGAATTCTTAGTAATTGGATTCCGTTTTACCCTTTGAGTATGCGACCTCAAAAATTTTTTGTCTCAGACAAAATGTTTCCTTAAATCTTCTCAATATAATCTCAGTAAATATTCTAAAACAGATTCAATTAATTTTACGGACAAAATTAATAATTATTTAAAATAACATAATTACATAACTAAACGCGAACGAGTAGTATGATCACCGGATTTATGATTATATCACCCGGTTTCAAATATAGAGGTTTTCGTTTCTGATTTTAGCTTTTTTTAATGATCAGTTGATAGCAGTTTGATAAAACTAGGACTTTTATTCTTGTGAAACGTAATAAACTTAAGTTATTGAGAATAATCCATTGAAAGTTTGTACTCTATTTAATTTAGAAACCGGCCGTGAATACGTAATTGAGTAAATGATTAAATTTCGTTGGATAAATGTTTTTATATTGAATCTGCTATAAATTATATGACGAGAATCTTAATGTTTTATGAAGTGACGAACCTTTTCATATAGCTATTGTACGAAATAGAACGAGTGAAAGTATTACGCTTAAATCTATTTTTAATCCAACCAAATCTACGGCAGTGTTGCTATCTATTATTATGTAACCTTGATATTGTGATTTTATTTAACCGTACTTCATAATAGAGTCGCGAACAAAGGTATTATGTCTGCGCAGACGCCTCGGAACCATTTTGTAAACACGATTTGACCTCAAGGAGAAGTAATATTCTAAAATATTACGTGTTCACAATATTTCTTTGTAGTTTAATTATTTCTATAACTAAATAAAACTATTTTAAAATTAAGGAAATCAATATAATAATTCTATAACACTAAAAATCTATCTTTCTCAAAGTGTTATAACGCCCCGTTGTGGGCGCAAGTTTACGGAGCATTATATCTACGTGAAATTGAGGATAGATACCATATAGTTATCGCATCGTTCCTCATGCATTTCATCTATACTTGTACTAAAATTTAATTAGAGATAAAATATTAAGTTCGGATTCCGGAGTAGAAAAAGACTCATATCATATGACACACTAGATAATTAATATTCAAAATAAATTATCGATGGATGTCATGAAACAGAAATCAAACATAATTTTCAACAAGCCATATACTAAATATAAAGATATATATTTAGATAAAAGAGATAGTAAATATTTTGAGATAATTTAATGTATAAATATGAAATCAAAGATTTTAAAACTAAATAGCTGAGTAAAGGGCTGCGTCAATACCGATAACATTCCAACGTTTTAGTGCCTGTTTACACTAGCTTTTATTAAACGCGGGCGTTTTTAGCGACGCATTAGCGTTTGTGGTATGTAGACAAACACGTCGTTGGTTTATTTATATGTAATAGTAAAATATACGATTAAAATTCATTAACTTTCACAAATGATTTTATCTTCATCTTGTTTTTTCCACACTCATTCGCGCCCCGTCAGTAGGACCTGCAAAAATTATTGACAAGTTTATGTAATATTTTAAATTAACTATTTAAAAAACGCACACAGGGCAATATACGTTTCTAAAAGATGTGAGAAAAAAAAACATATTGATAAAACAATGAAAATTAAAATATAACCATCTCTGGCAAAAGAACTTTGCACAAAAGCAAACGAAATATTTCTTTTTCATCCATATTATTTATTTCTTTAATTTAAATATAATAATAATACTTTTATTATCTCTCTTCAATTTACAATAAAGAAAATCATGATGTGCCTCCTTTTAAATACATATAATACCTGTATCAGGAGGATAATATGTACACGATAGCATATACTACTAGACTGGTCAATGTTACTCATAAACAGCGAACGCTAGACAAACGCGGACAGTCAATATATACTAGAGTATGTGCACACTTTTACATCGGCAAATGTTTTTCGTTCGGTAACACTAGCCGACTGACGTACATTTGTGTCGTGTCTACAATGTCCGCCGGCAATTTACAATAGTCGTTTTTCTAACCGATTTATGAAATTCAGATAGATGTTGCTTTCTTGCATCATCTCTGCTACTCAAACAATAAATGATTTCCCGTAAAGAAATGTAAATAATTATGTTTATGCATACTTAGTCTATTTTAGAAAGAGACGCATACAATTTCAATTTCGATTTTAGGCTATTAAGAGTTATTGGATGTTGGAATTTAATTTATACCAGTTTCAGCTCCCGGTTTCGGTCAATTTTTGCAATCTTAACCCAAATATTTGACGTGGAACAGGTGAAATAATATCTTTATTCTTAATGATAAAAGCTTAAATATCCACTTTGTGCCTGGCATTCTGAGATAGGAACCAATATAATATAATTATAATATCTTTAGAGAAGAAGTAGATGCTTTTATTTTATAAAATTCGGCGTTATAATAATAACAGCTCTATAAAATGCAACCACGGGAAGCCCCGTGTGGGGCCACGATAATATTGCCATGGACGGGAAATAATATGGAGCATCCTGTCGCTATATTAGTATTGTATTTTAAACAGACGTAGAATGGCACTAAGGATTAACGAACGCGTTCTTTACATATGGAAATTCGAACATATATCCTCCGATAATGGTGATTGGAAATTCAGAACGCAAGGAATTGAATTTAAGTTGCAAGGCCAGTCAAGGGGATAAATAGATGATGGCGTAATGTGCGTCAACAGATAATTCTTATCAATTAGACGAAAACTATTGCGATCAGAAGACAGTCGATGTCAGGCGACTATAAACTTGGGCATTCATCTGATGACTTACTCATACCAGAGTTTAAAAGCTCCACAAATGAAAAACTCTGCACCATCGAATTTCTATATCTGGTAGTATAGTAATAGGTAATTGTAGTAATTAGTAAGTAATAGGTAATTCTCAAGAGTGATTTTCTTTTTCTTTGGACTAGCTGATCCAAATCAGGATTGTCATGTACCAGGATCGTCTAATTTGAGACATCCTGCCGCGGCACTGTAAGGAAGTATTATATTACTTACTAACGCAGGATGAGGTTAACGAACGCTATTTTTGTCGTAGTTCGGATTAAATAGATAAAATTTTAAAATGTTCAACATTAATTTCATCCCCTTTTTATACCGACTCTAGAGAAGGTTATATTTATTTAAGATTGAGAATAAATTTTATAAGAAACCTGAGTTATTAACAAAGTCCCCTAAACGGTAACTGAACGTATTATTCCACCAAAATTTCTATTTGTGTGTTTTAGACGAAGTAATTAATGCTGAGAGAGGAAGTGTTTTGTGAATCTGAAATATGACAATGACTAGTGTTTAATAAACATTGGACGGACTCACGTAGATATCATGCCCGAGATTAATTGCTGAACTACATACAATCTGCGGCTGATTGATTTGTCAAAATGAAGCCTCGAATGTTTTGAAAGTGGACAACAGGATTGGACTGTCTAATTTAAGACCATTTTTTTCGAAATAGCATTACTCATACCTCGCCTCTCCAGCGTGGGTTGGCGAGGTTATTTGGTACTCCCCTCTGCCGGATCTACCCCGAAGGGGCTAGTCAAGAGGTAGAGACATACCTATATTCGCACTGATTTGGAAATCGTTGTTCCTCTGTGGTGGCAATGCCCAAAGACAGCCCGACGGCTTTGTCGATCCTAGACCAATTCTGATTGGACTGCTGAAAGTTTATCAGTCAGCCTGACATATCAATCAGGGTTCCGGAAATGCGATAGAAAATAAAGCACTTATTACTTATACTTATATGTGTATCACACACATATATGTTGAAACTAAATATCCATCAAGTAAGATATCAAGTATTGATTTTTGTATGACGCGCCTAGCGATAACGGTCAAAGATTATGTATATGATTTTTTTTTTTGTAATCTGTAATATCAATGTAGAATTGTAGTCCATTAGCCAACTTTGATCAAAGACTCGGTGATGGCTTACATCTCAGAATGAGATGCATTAAAAAATAATATCTACGAACAATCCGCACATATTTCTACTGATATTAGGTATTCTAAAATGTTAAGTAAAATTGTATCCAATTTTGTCTGTATACACTCGACCTAGGATGTAGAATTGGGAATAACTACACTACAATACACCACCAATAAAACGACGCATCAACCTCTATGCCACAAAACGGCGACATGTTTCCAGCAGCCTACATAAATAATATCCAAAAATTATCTAAATTGTCATTTCTGAAATAAATGGTGAAGCGTGATTTGCATGCTTCACCAGGCGCGAAGGAAACTTGACTGCAGCGGAAAGTCAAGACTATGTAAAAATATTAATTAAAAAAGAAACTATTAATCTTTGCCACACGTAAACATAATTTCATTAGTGTTTCTAAAACAGTCATATGGGTTTGATGTTTCGAAAATTTTTATTTTTGTCCTCGCCACGTATCCGTGACTCCTTCCATTATGCCCTTTCATCTTCTAAGTTATATTGTTTTTAATGATTGAGGATACGTTTAACATAACATAGGTTTCCAATTAAAGGAAAGGATAGTCCTAAAATGTAGAAGGAAGAATTATAAAAGCTTTTCGTTATTAATGATCGAAATAAGTGTTAGGCCACTGATATTCAAAGTGTGTATATCGACCCCCAGAGGTCGAAGATGATATACTTACAAGGTGATATACACTTTTACCTTCGGCTTAGCATATTTGAATATTTTAGATTTTCCCGAACCAACAAGTTCTCTAAATATTAATACTTTTCTCTAAATTATACTAGATATTTTCCTACGACTAAGCCCTTGTTAATTGCAG